CCTTTTGAAGCCATATACTTCATAACCGTCACGTTTTTTCCAAATAATTTATTTGCAACCGTGTCACGTTCTGAAAGTGCACAGCGGCACTGCGAGGGTGGCAAAATGCATTGGGGTAGGACTTGCCGAGAAACGTTTTTGTAAGAGAATACGGATTTTGGGGAGGGGTGGGGGGGTGTTTAAAGTGTTTTGCACATGTGTAGCTAAGGAAGAACTCTGTGTGTCCAAACCTTGAGTGCAATCGCCAGGATTACTTTTCCAGGTCGTTTTGGGGGCGGGGGAGGGAGGGCAGGAATATCTGTAATTATAGATATTTGAGGACAGCCCAGCTGAGAGTTTACAAAACACTCTGCTTAGCGTGAATGCGGGAATTTCGGTGACTTTTGTCCGTGACCAGTGATCTGGGGTGGCCGATCCGAGCTGCCAAGGAAGAGCCTGGTGCCGAGAGCCCAGCCCTGCGCCGAAAATCAGGGGCTTCGGAAGGGTCTCGGGTGGGACCCCCAAGGGTGGCTTGTCACCTGCGACAAGTCGGGGCCTCTCTTTGCAACTTCCGAACTAGATGTAACTAAACACAAACGTTTGGTTGGTTGTGTGGTTTTTTTTCTAAACTTTATTGTATTATTGCAATAAATCTTTAACAGTTAATTTTTTAAAGTTGTATATTTATAATTTTTACTTCTGTGTGGTTTGTTTTTAACGGTGCTGGGGAAGTACAGAAGAATTTCCAGCCTTCCAAGTAGTGCAGGGACCAGACCTGTTACCGTGCAATCCTACAGGGGTGGAGTAAGCAATGCCCATTCCAAAAAAATACATAAAATAACTACATCTCCACTGGAGCAGGGAGAGGAATCCTGCAAAACACGCACACACACACTTTTATATGTACATGTAAACGGATAAATGTCTTGGCGTGTGCCTGGCTTTGAACTGCTCCTTGGCAGGGTGATGGGTCTTTCTGCATGCAAGGGAAGAGCCTCCTCTTTACAGGGGCGTTTCAGGAGTGTCTTTTTTAAATAGTTACCTCCTTAAGTGAACCGTTGTGTGTCTGACCAGTAGGGATGGGAAAGAGCCATGTTCATCAGGAAAAGCCAGACCCTGCCCGTGGGACCTGGTGGCCATGGTTTTACTGGCTGCTGAACGATGGAGGAGAAACAACCCATCCCAACTTAATTTTTTGTGGCAGCTACCTGATGGGGAGGATCGATGCCTCGTGATTCCCATCTGCTGCACACTCAGAGTGGGAGCAACAGCCTGAGGCTCCGGCACGCAGCCTGTACACCAAGCCAAGCCTGGCTCCAAGCTCAGCTTGTGCCCATGAGTTGCTTAGGTCAGTTCGGCTTAAGCAGTGCCATCATCAGCAGGAGGTTCTGTCATCTGCCAGCACTGGTCTGTGGCAGAAGAGCAGCCCCGTGATGCCCTGAGTCCCATCCCTACTCCAGGGTTGCACGGACCAGCCAAACGCAGGTTGGGGATGAGAAACAGCCCCGGGTGAGGCTTCAGCACCATTCCCACCTTGCAAGAAGTAGGATTCAAGATGAAGACTGGATGCTTCAGTGTAGGTGTGAAATGACAGTTGTAGGGGCTGGCACAGGGACAGGCGCTGCAGTAGGTGACTTGGGGCTGATAGAAAGGAGCTGAACCCCGATAACGCATCGCCGAGGGTTACCGTTCACTCTTACAGGAGACCCGCAGAGCCTGATGGAAAAGTGGAAGCTTACAAACAATGGAAACGTTATTACTGTTTCTTCACAGGCATATCTGGAAATTCAGTCTGGTTATGCCAGCTGCTCCCGGGCAGAGAAGTCAAGCACATGGCATAGTCTTTAGTCCTTCAGCTCTTCTGAATGCTCAATTTTGTAAATCCAAGACTGGACTTTTTTTTTTTTAATTGCCTCTTAGACAAAACAAGTTCATCAGACCTTGGGCTCTCCCTGAGCTGGCCCTTAAGGAAACAAAAATCTGCACTTTTTACTACTTTATGGGGAAAAAAAACCCACAAACTTGCAGGGAGCTCAGCATGGCTACATTCAGAACCAACGCACGTCTGGATGCAAAAGTTCGTTCTGTAAAACAATTTTTAACAGCAACGCTGTGCAACAGGGATAATTCCAGCAAACAATGTAATAAATGATGTCTAAAACAGCCCACGTTCCTCAGCCAGCTTGAGGGGAGGGTGAGGATGGGGTACGCTAGAGAGCAAATTGTCCTCGGTATTTAACTGCTCCAAGGAACAAAAATAGCTCAATGCTATTATTTTATTCTCATTTTTCCCCTTGTTCAATGAAGGTGTCCAAAATCTTACACCCTGTTCCAAAAAAAAAAAAAAAAAAGACCTCACTGGCCCCTTATCTAGTTACAAAATATTTTCCTCTGCCGCTTCTATTTCAGCCTCGCAGGGACTTTCCTCGCTGCTGTCAGCCTGGCGCGGGTTATCGCAAGTTTTCCAGAATCTTGGGCGGGGGGCAGGAAAAGCAGTTTCTTCCCCCTCTTCCTTAATTGAAATTAGGCTGAAGGCCTTTGATGCTGACGGCTTTGGTGAGACGGCTCCTGCCAGAAAATTGTTTTGCCGCTCGTCCCCTTGCATCGCTGCTCCGAAGCCCCCGTTAAGAGAATGAAGTCACGAATTAACGAGGGATCCTGCTTTTCCTCTCCCTCTTCCCAGCTGATTACGAGGCAGCCGCACCCTTCTTTTAGCTTTCTAATTTCATTCCTCCTGGTTGTCATCATGTCTGCTGCATTGCAGAGGTGGCTGAGCCGCAGCAGCAGGTACAGCAGGACTGGGAGGGGCCGGGGGGGGGGAACCACCATCCCTTTTAAATCCACCATCAC